ATTTAGTAAATTAAATTATATATATATATATGATTTAATTTGCATAAGCAGTAACACTATTTAGTAAATTGAAACTACTAATAATAAGTATTTTGACGTGTATACACGTCAGAGCAAATCTTAATGGAGGAACTTATGACGAGTATAACCGTCATGTGAAATAGAAAATTACTTCTGACCATCCAGGAGAAATTTCAATAAACTATAATAAAAATATTATAGAACGGTATGTTTCTTTAATAATACCAATAAAACATATAATTTTTTTTAAAGTACCAAAAGGCGAAGAAAGACAACGTGATGACCAAAAAGAAAGAATCTGAAACTTTATTTTGTTACAAAGATATTTTATAAAAATGTTTGATTTGTGACAACTATTTTATCTTCCTTAGGTTTTATGCTTCTGAAATAGCAATTGGAATGTTTTTCCTTCATCAAAGAGGTATTGTCTACAGGTATCCATTTTTATAATTTCTTTTATTCAATAATAAAACATATCTGAGCCCAAAACTATTTTTACAAATTTTTATTCACAGAGTTTGTAACAATTTCGTGTTTTTATCATTTAAATTTATACATTCATTAAAATGATATTACAGTTAATTACTCAAAGTATTTATAAAAAGAAATAATTTAAAAATATGTTTACAACTTAGTTAACTTTATAAATAAATTGTTTAGTTGCATGCAAAGAAGCGTGGATGCTTAAGATTAGTGAAATATATAAAATGTGAAGGTCTTTTAGTGTTCATAATATTTAATGGGATATTTCGAGGCTCTCTCAAGAAATACAACCTGATTAAGCAAAACTACTGAGGTTCACCGATTATCTCTACATACACAATTGAAACCATTGTAATACACTCTCGTTGGAGATACGAAACAGCGGTTAAAGTAATGGGTTTCCCTCTTACAGTCTGAACTTGAAATAGTCCTAGTACTTGACTAGTCCTGTGACAATTCCGACTCCAACTAGTGTTACAATTGTTGTTGAATGGTATGTGCAGATTCATTATAATCAGTGAAGTACATAAAATCTCCTGATGATTTAAACACGTATGTTTAAATATATTGACTCGTGCAAATCATGTCATTATTAAAACACTAGAGGGCGTCTCCACCTGTTTTGATAAATATTCTGTATTTATATCGCCTAATTTCACCCATTAGTACCCGAACGTAAACAATCCGAGTAGAAACAATAAAGCTGATAAATAAGATTTTACGTTTTTGTATGTGTGTGAGTCAGGTTTAAATGCAAAAGATGAATGATATTTCAGGGACTTAAAACTAGATAACGTTCTTCTGGACTATGACGGACATGTAAAGATCGCCGATTTCGGAATGTGTAAAGAGGGAATCGTTGGTGATAAAACGACAAAAACCTTTTGTGGAACACCTGACTATATAGCACCTGAGGTGAGTCACTATGCTTTTGTATTTCTCATTGTTAATATAAAAATCATTTTATTTTGGACATAACTGTTTTAGAAAATATATTGATGTGCGAAATAATGGTTCAAAAGAAAAATATTACTTAGTGGTGTGTTAAACAAAGAACAAATCAATATTATAATTCCATATGAATCTAATAAGTAACAACTGAATAATAATTTTTCCAATTATTTTAAATAAAACTGGTTTGCCTTTTTTATCGGTCATTTGCAGTCATTGTTTAACATTGCAAAGGTCTATTTTATGTTCATCTTCTTTTATCAGGTAGAGCACTGGGCCCACGTCCTAGGGGCCCCGTAGTAAAGGGGCACTGTCGAGTCACAAAGTGTCCACCATGTCAGTTGAACACATGAGTAGTCGTAATCCCAACGGCTGATCAACGACGGTTATAAATACGTGTTTTAAACGCCATTTTGTTGCTTTTCAATAACTGTTACAAATAATATCTTTCGTTTTGGGAATTCAGTTGCTGTGCAGAAATTAAGAAGGTTTGTGAGGGAGTAAAAAAATAATTATTCAATAAACTATTAACTGTTCATTCGCAAACAATAAGCCTTGACGTGAAAATAACATACAGAATTGACATTTAGATTGATGAAAGGACAAAATTCCAATCGGGTCGAAAGTTATTGTATGTGGGTTTTTTTTCTCTTCTTTTTTTGCTATTTTTTTCACGGTACGTTTTGTCGTATTTCATATATGCGAAATTTAATACCACGATGAGCTGCAGGACGGAGACTACGACGAAATAATAAAAAAATTACAGTATAACTATTTTCGTTTATATCTTTCCATCTTTTTGTTCGTCTTTCTTTCTTTTTTTTCGCAAGACTGTTGCCAAACTTCAATTTTAGATTGACAATTTCAATTCAATTTAAACAAGCAATTTTAGACATGATTTCTTGACTCTAAATATTATGTGAATTAAAAATGGATTCTGAGGAAAGTTTTAATTTTATACAAGTTTAAAAAAGAATTAAAAATTGTCTATTTATTCGTATTTCTTCCTCGGGTCCACTTTATATGCTTATCTAAATTCGAAGCTATATGTCCGCTGTCCCGGATAGCAAAATAGGGTTTATTTTCAATCAGCAAAAACTTTTTAATGTAAACCTAACTAGGTTTGTTATGCGGTTTAAACCTTCAAACGAGATCTGTGCTCTATTCAACGCCCCTCATCCAAAACCTTGGAAAACAACCTTCTATATAAAAACCTTAAATCGACTTAGTGTTTTCAAGCGTGAAAAATTCCTTGAATAAAGCAAGGGGAAATTAACTCTAGGTCATTAGAAGGGTTTATTTTCGTATGCTCAGCTAAAATACACCTTGTCACGAAATGGACACAATGCATCCTATCGCTAGTGTGTGACGTCAGTTAAAACGTCATGATGGACACCTAAAAGTGACGTTTTTTAGAACTTTTTAATCCCGTTTAGGATGAAAGGTTTTGAAACTGCAATATTTTTGCTTTATTGAAAAAAAAAGGTTTTTAATACAAACATAAAACAATACAAACAAAGTTCCGACGTTGCATGCTTTCTGGATTCACAGATGTCACAATTTAAAATTTTTGACTGAAAAAAGATGACGAAAAAGTGAGTCTCTTAATTAATTTAAAAAAAGAATAGAAAAATCATATAAGGAAAAAAAACGTTCATTTTGAGACAAATTAATCTTCTAGTACACTTTGTTTGAACGCGATAAGCTTCGAAATGCAGAAAGATTTTTTAAAAAAAAATTATCAGAAATACACCTGAAAAATTCATAATTCATGAGAATTTATAATAAATAATATTTTATTCAAAGTGAGAAATATCTCAAATTATTCACTTTAACCAGTTATTATTAATAATAACCATTGAAGTTTGGGTCACTGTGATTAAACGGTTTGAGTAACATTCGGACATGGGTGGACCTCTTTGTATATATGGTATAGAAGTTCTGTTGGTCAAACTGAGAAATAAATGGGGAGATTTCCATATCTATGGCAGAATATTCATCAAGTCTTGACAGCGGCCCACGAGAAACTGAAAATACATCACAGAAAGAAAGCAACTCAAACCCTGGAAAACATTTACATGATTTAGGGGCTGATGAAATATCTCCATTAAAAGAATAACCAAACTCGCTTTAACCGGCTTATTATTATTGTCATTCACAAATGCTAACCGGAGTTTGTGTATTATAAAACACTTATTTATTACAGATCATTCATTATCAACCTTATGGTAAATCAGTCGACTGGTGGGCATATGGAGTTCTACTCTATGAAATGCTTGTCGGACAGGTAAAAACAATATTTATTTTAGAAAACATCCCAAATTATTAGTTTATAATCGTTTATTTTAATTTATTTCGAGAGATGTTGGAGGGTAGGGGTGGTACCGATGTAAAGATATTAACAGAATTATCTATCAATGTATAGCGTTAAAATGATATCCTTAGATACAAAAATGAATCCTGAAATGAGTGTTGTTACCTTATATATGTGTAAACTAAAGATTATACAATTTCTTGTAGCCTCCTTTTGACGGTGAAGACGAGGAAGAATTATTTGCCTCCATTACTGACCACAACGTCTCCTATCCAAAATCTCTATCCAAAGAAGCGAAAGAAGCCTGCAAAGGTGTACGTTCCCCTTAACATACATTCTTAAAATCTTTTGTTCCTGCTGCACATTGGTCTGGGAAACATCCATGAGGATGATCACAATTTTGATCCTCTGTAGAGGGCACCCCCTCTTCGGCAGCCCTGCACGCCAAGTCAAGCACTCTACGGTAGAACAGTTTAACGCGGACTGCACACCCTCAGTCCCTACGCAGACTCATCCTAGTGGTCACCCACCCGCACACTGACCCCCAATGATGCTTGACTTGGACGATCTGTAAAATCTTTCGTCAAAAATATTAATCCTAAAACGAGAAGGAAACTACTGAGAAAGATTGCTAAAGAAAACAGAGAAACACTTTGATTTTGGGTGCATTTCAGTAGCTTTCTCCTCACCTGTACTAAAATTGTGCCTTAACACTTAATATATCCCTACCATACCGTATGTTTTTTGATTGAATGTCTGAAATAGAAACAAAATAAAAGAAACTTTATTATAATTAAACAAAATTGTCATATATTACAAACACAAAGAATAAGATTCATTGCTCAATGCATTTTTTTACATGTACAGGGTGTCTCCATTGTACATTTTCCTCAAACGTATTTCTTTTAATTATTTCCATAATTATTCTTATAATTATAAGAATTATAATTAATATTTCTTCTAAAAACTTGAGCTGTCTTCATTGTTTTAGACATTTTTCTAGATAAAAACTAACAGTTAGAAATGAAGTAAAGCTATCAACATAAAATATAAGCTACCTACAAAAACAATTAGTTTTTGTCACTTTTTCTGGCCTTTCTTGAAATTTGAATTCACAGTTATTCTAATTGAACTCACTACGCAACAGTCTTTGCAGAAACTCATCGAATGCAATGCGTTGAACACGCATCACATTTCCGATCCGATAACCTTATAAAGCAATACATTGTTCTCGGTTGTGGCATATGACACGTATTATTCGAAACAAAAAAAATATATATATATAATAATAATAGAATATTTAACTGTATAATGATTGTTAGAAAAAGTCATGTAGTGCAAAAACGATAAGATGACAAAAGTGCATTTTCGATGCTTCTAAACAGTCATTTGACCGGTTATGGTATGTTTAGTGTTAAATACACGCATGAAGGGTGGTGATGACAGAATACTTTGTAAAATGCAATTATCTAGTGTGCGGGTAACAAAGTGGGTAATATCTTTTTCAGTCCATAAAAAGTAAAATCCACCTCTAGAATTTTTCTCCAAAAGTAACGAATTATTTACAATTTATTTTGAACATGTAGTACACAAGTATAAATTGTAATAATAGTGGAGTACTCAATTTGAGCCATTGTAATTTTAGATGTGACGTTTTGAAACCTTCAGACCGCTCTGATCTCTATGGCTTTCTCGGACAGCATAATCGTTGCATTTAACATATTTTATTGAACTATCGATTCAGCAGTTGGAAGTGAACTAAATGAAAAGTTTATTATTATTAAAGATTTTTGAACAGTGAAAAGCATATTTTTTTTTATTTTAATCAGAATGTCTGATCAATACATTAATACTACTGAGCTATATATTTGATAAGCTAATTCATTTTGTGTTATCTAAGGTTATTCAATATTTTTATTAATGGATCTGTTACATTTATGATTCAAATAATGCAGAAAATTAGACACAAAGTATATCGTTGAAGATTTGTAATGAATGAGTGGCTTATTATAATATTATTAAATTAAAAAACAGAGACAACGAAATGAATGACAAAAAATGGAGGGTCCAAATTATTACATCACTGGTTTGTTCTTTTTAGTTCTTAACAAAGAATCCTCAGAAGAGGCTTGGTTGTAGTGCGCATGGAGAAGAAGATATTCGAATTCATCCCTTTTTCAGACGAATCGATTGGAACAAAATCGAAAACAGGGAAGTTCAACCTCCATTCAAACCAAAAATCGTAAGTTCTGCAAAGTTTTTAAATGCAATTAAAAATATATCATGAATTGTTATTATAAGGATGGCACTAATGGACCCACATTATCTTCGGTCCATTCACGGACTAGCAACCAAGATGTCACCAAAGACCTCTATTTAACGAAAGAATTTCTCTATTTCCCGAGGAACATTTTGGAAATTTCTTTGTAAAATAGCTTCCAAAAAGGGGATTGAACGAACTTTTCTTTGAGATCCACTTTCCCAAAATGTTTCAGAACATTTCAGTTAATTTTATGGGGGGAAATGACCTGGAATTGATTTTCGAAGCCACTTAACTTTTAGAGAAAGGGGTTTTACCTTTTTGTTTGCAATTGAAACGAAAACCTCAGACAAAATTAACGGATTTCATCAGTAGCAATTGAGCTTAAGAACACATGTTTAAAATTATTAATTAATGTTTAAAATTACTTTTATAATAAAATCAGCTGTAATTCTATACATAAATTTATCTTTTTTAAGTTGAAAATGTATATAACATGATAGTGTAACACTGGATAATGTTTTGCTTGTTTTCCATGAAAGATTTCTTTTATGTTTAAGGTTTATAAAATAAATAGTAGATACCAATTTACAAGATAAAAGTGAATCCATTGCTACTCTAATTATGTCTAATGTTTATGAATTTAACACATGTTTTATGTTTCTTAAGTATTTCCAAAAAGTAATTTCCTATTTAACGGATCTTCCATATAACGAACTTATTATCATGATTTAGCGACTTCGTTAAATAGAGGTCTGACATGCAGTACAGTATCAATGTATGGTTTCTAAACATTGCACATTACATATGACTCAAAATAATATTTTAAAAATTGTGCTTGGGTGAAGCAGCATTATTTTTATTCAGAGTTAAATTCATTTTTAAAAAATAATTAATTTCAACATTATCCTACATATCAAACAAAAATTAAGATCCTGTATGGCAACTATGTTTAAAACTAATAATAATAATGATAAGAACTATATTCAAACTAATAAGTTTTCAAAAAAATCGGCACTTTAGGAGTCAGAAATTATGAGTTAGGGGAAGCGAAAATGCTGTCGAAATGAGATGAATCGCTATTGAGGAAAGCAGTATTAAAAAAAAAAAAAAAGGAATTGATAGAAAAACCTCTTTCATGCGTAATCCAGGCATGAAACCATTAGCATTCATCCTAATTTGATATTAAAAAATCATTATAGCTGATTTAAATAAATACTATCCGGCCAAAGGTTTTTGTTTATGTAAAAAGCATTTGTGTGAAATACGAGGTTTCAAATGTTGGGTCATTATTTAAGACAAGCTTGGGTCGGCGAGAGAAAGAAGTTTCTATGGCAGCAGAGGGGTATTCTTTCTATAGACAAATTATACATAAATCGATAAGCGTTCCGTCAAAATATGAACAAAGCGTAGTTCCTTAGAATGATTAGATTTCAAAGTGGCCAGACCACACTATGGGTCGACCACACCAAGAGTGCGAAAGAAGTTTATCGTTTACTTGACTTCGTTTTCACGGGACTTATCTTCTAAGTGGTCCCGCAGTGACCGAATTCAAGATCGTATTGACTATAATTTTATAAACTATTAATTTATATATTGGATGTCTTCTAAGATAAATAGGATTATTCTGATAAACGAATACTTTCTAAATGAATATTTCGAGTGTGTCCGACAAGCACTCCATATGCCCACCAGATTTACCATGCGGTTGATAATGAATGATCTGTAATAAAAAGTGTTTTATAATACACATTTTGAAACACCTTTTCGGTTAGTTGAGAGTTTAACCTACAGTTCAAACTGGGTTAATACTCATTCACATAAAGAGTCTCCAAACACGGTCCCAAAAGCAAAGAAGAAAAAAGCCTAAACTTATAGAGACTGGAAAAGCCAAAGAACGGGAAAGCGTTACACACAAACGGAAAAACGAAAGCATTCCGTTCGCAAGCACAAAAGTGGTAGAGAGACTTTCCAAACATGCAAATACGGATAAAAGGATCCACGTACCCAATAATTTGCACTGTCTTCCACGCAATATGAATGATTCATTCGTGTAAAATTGTATCCGAAATGGGTGTATGATGCGGCTCTCCATCAATCAGAAAATTCTCGATTGGCTGTTCAGTTACACAGAATGTGTCTGAGCTGCATGTCTGCGAAATTGTGTGCCGAGTAGTTCAGGATTAACAGTTGTCCAGGATGAAGAAGTTTCTTTTCCAAAAAAATTTAACAACAGCCATTTTGCCAATCTGTGATTGCCTTGCCGCAATAACAATCTTCTCCATTTTGTTGTGAATTGTTTTTTTATTTTTCATTTTGGCATGGAAAAATTTTAATAAATTCTCAATATCACATTTTGATCAATACTCTTTGTGTAATAAATCTTTATTTGATTTATTTTTAGAACATAAATTCTAAAATTTTTAAAGTTAATCAAGAAACGAAAACTAAATTTAAAAGTTTAAGTATAGACGCTATTTTTTATATATATACATAAAAGGGCGTCGCAATATTAAATACAAAGAGTCAGTTTTATTGTTTTTGCAACAATTGAATCAATTAGAATTAACAAGATAGATTAAATTGTTAGATTTATGCTTTTTAAAGTAATCTATTTACACATATCTATCTATCAATCTATTTATTATCTAAGATTAAATAATTTTGAAAAAATCAAATTCTTTATATCCTTAAAGTATATATGCCGAGACAAAAATCTGAGTTTGATGAATAAAATCTTTATTTTTATTGATATTTTTTTAACCATGCTTCTTATAAAACCAGAAATTTTCAAACAATGTGGTGAGTTTATAGATTTTATTCAGAGGTTATTTTATTCTTAACTATTATTTAATTTTTTATTAATTTTGTTTGCACTTACTGTCCGCTGAAGACGAATAATTTTAACTTTGCCGCAGCATATTTCTTTTTCGGTAAGCAATTTTATGATTTTTAAAAATAATTTAGTCATTGTTTACTTTTTAGCAAACATATTTTTTTATGTAATTTATAACTAAATTATTTTTACGTTATGAATTTACGGCTTAAACTAATGGATTTGTTATTAAGACCTCATTCCAAATTTTACATAATATAGTTATTGTCGCTAATAGTCCTTTTCAATTAAAGAAACTGAGCAACAAAATTTTATGATAATAACTCATTCACATTGAATAAAAGTTTTACTTGACAAGTTTTTTTAAAAATATAAATAAAAAAAATTCAAATTATTATTATTTTTTTTAACTTTTTGTTTTTGATTTATTTTATTTACATCTGTACGGTTTAAAAACTTATATTTTTATTGGATAATGAACTTAAACTATTAAAAATTTTTTACTTAACATTTAAAAAATCATTAAATTGAAATGAATGATGATAGACCTGCTATAACCTGAAAGTTAGTTTTAAAGAGAATATTTTTAACTGAATAGTTAAAACTAATGATAAATAAGCAATAGTAATCGACAGATTTCCCAGTTCAGAAACGTGCTCCCCCAAATCATTGTTATTCAAAACCTTATTTTGATGACGTCCAAGCGAGAAAACTAAAATATTTACTATTTTCCTAGTTATTTATCCATGACAATGACAGATCGTTATGTATCATTATGTCTGTTGCCTACATAAAATATATAAATAACACATTGCATTATTCAAAATAGTTTTCGGAATGCCCATTTAGTCCTTTTAAAGGTCAGAACTATCATTCAAGCGAGCTGCTTTTTTTTTCATTTCAAATCCCCAACTGAATCCATCTATAATAAACTCACAAATCGATTCAATAATTCTACTCAAAGCTTCATTAAATATTGAGGCTTTGCCTCCGGTCATGAACGATCATGAACGCCATCTATTGCTTTCTTGAAGAAACTCTAATAGAAAATAATTCAACCAGAATTTGTTATTAAATATAAGAGAGAACATTACAGGGAAAAAAGAATACTTTTGATTTAGTTCAAGTATCCATATGGAATCTTAGTGGTTCAAGGGTCTTTAATAGGATGATTAGTTCCTTCTAATATATGCTAATTGTGTTTATCAACTAAAGATAGTCTTACGTAGAAAACATATTTTAATAATTATTTATTGTTGCTATTAATAGTTGAAAAATTTTGAATAGTTAAAAAATTTTAAATTGTGAGATGTAAATAATTTTTTAGGAAATTAAGTTTGGCAATTTTATCTGAATACAAATAAGATATTGACTGAACAATAAAAAAAACTATTAGTTTCCTAGCAAAATGGGTTACAGAAAAAGTGGATGTTTAGTTTTTCATTTTTCAAACACTAGACGACGTTCAATTGTTGCATTTAGTCATTTGAAATTGCATATTTTAAAATGATATAAAACTGTGGATATCTAACCACACAAAAAATTTTAGATTATTAATTAATAAAATAATAAAAATAATAAGCAAAAAGTGTTTTTTTCATCATACTAAATTTGTTTGCAAACTTTTTTTTTATTGTGCTTTTTTTCGAGATGTGACTAAAAACGTAAAAAGTAAAATTTAAGTGAATGAATCCAAACTTGTTAAGGCATTTAACAGTTGAATATTTGGTGTCTCGTAAACACCGCTCTTCATAAATACTTTTGTAATCTTTGATAAAAGATGAAGGATAAAAAATATCTATTTATTTCGGAGAAAAGCTAGGAAGGAACAAAAAAAAAAAAAAAAAAAAAAAAAAAAAAAAAAAAAAAAAAAAAAAAAAAAAAAAAAAACATGAATTATCGAAATTACTTGAGTCATTCGTAAGAAAGGCAAAGAAACTTCAACACCAGTTTAATTACCAGTTGAAATTTAGTTATTTCATTCAACTGTTTCCTTTCGGTGTTGATTTCTTCAGATCCACCTTCCTCAGTAATGGTTCGTGAGTTTTTGATGAATATCACTGTTAAAATATTAACTTGAGGCTCCTAATATAAGTATTTATGTGACTTTTACGGTTTTCCAATTAGTGTAGACATTTTTACTTAATGTTCCTCAACTAAAAATATATTAAGGGCTGTCATCATGGAACACCCTGTATACTACTTGTCATTGGACAAACTTTATTAGTTTCAGATAGAAAGGGGAAAAGTTGACATGCTTCGAGTTCTCAAAACAAGACACCCATTATCAAGATCCATGAACTGGATAAAAAAAAAAAAAAAAAAATTAACGTTGTCAATGAAAAAGAAGAAAAAAATATTCCAGAACATATTTTCAAAGCAGGAGGCAAGAATTCCTTTAATCTATTTGTCGTTCACAGATGACGAATTCAGTGGAGGGAGGGGGTGGCTGATGTGTAAAATTTATTCATTGAAAATCGTTGTGTTTTTATATCATATTATATTAGTGACAACAGAAAGACGGAAAATTAGTATATACCTATATCGTCGAAAAGCAGTCTAAATGACTAGATTGTGAATGCGTCAATAAATTCGTTTAAAATTAATTTTTAACATTTTTTTATATTATTTACAGTCATTTGTAAATAGTAACAATAAAATAAATTGTTAAAAAAAAGTCACAAAATTCTAAGAAATTGTGTCATTATTCTAATTGAAATTAAAAGCAGTCAAAATGACTTCCTTAGGCAATCTAGTGTTATAGTTAGCTTCAAAATTTTGTTGCTCTCATTGAATAACGTGTGTGTTGTTATTATAAATACAGTTTGTCATAAAAGAACCATATTATAACTTTTATTATAGTACAAAATTAATCTGAAATATATATGTTATTGATAGCATGAAATGAATCCTTTTTTAGAAACATCGAAAAGATGTGAGTAACTTCGATCGTCAGTTCACAAGTGAGAAGACAGACCTAACACCTACAGATAAACTCTTCATGATGAATTTAGACCAGACAGAATTTTTTGGATTCTCCTTTCTCAATCCAGAATTTGTTCAGCACGTATAGTACTGGGAGAACTATTTATTTATTTATTTTCATTCCATAAGCTGTATTCTGAATGACTTTCCTTCCATAAATTTGAGCTGGCTCACGAATTGCAATTTTTTTGAAGCAATTTTAAAGATAGCTCACTTATGGAAGGGGATTTTCGTAAAACGGTCGAACACAGCTTTTGGTTGAATATGTTTTTTGAAATGTTTATGAACTATAGGTGTTCTCAATTTTTTGCTGACTACTTAAATAATAGTGAGAATTCTTCCAACTCTTCTTCACTCTTCTCATTTAAATACAAGTTCACACTTTTCTAAGTTTTGTTTGAAGTTTCATCACCAACTCAATCCATTTTCTCAGATTTTTTTTTAAATTAATTAATTTTATTTTAAGTTACAAGTTTTCACGTTTTATGAACACAGTTCTCCAAATTTTTTTCAAAAATATTTTTTTAACAGCGAATAAAGCTAGAATGACAGATATTTTGAACTGACTAAAATTGAGTGTAACCAATGCTAGTAAGTTAATTCTAGAAACCAACATCTGCGAAACGCATTATAATCTGAGCCTTCATCGTAAATAATATCAGTGTATACGGTCTCTAACCTTAAAAAATATAAGTGTAGGGAATACCTTAAGGAAGAGATAATACCGTACAATGGCTTAAATGTTGGCAGCTGTCCTGTAAGAGCACGTCAAAAAGATAATCAGAAATTATAATTTTACACAGATTTGTTTTAAGGAATATTCACAATTTATATTGAAACATTTTAAGCGAACAAAATATCAGTTTCTTGTAAAACTGTAGAATTGCCCTTAAAAAAAAAAGACAACCAAGTATGATGATGGTAGGTATTGCTTTATCAACACTTCAAGGCTAAGATGGGTTATCCAGGATGTTTAAACCGTCTAGCCACGTTAATTGATTGAAGCCATTAATGTATATTACTTAAACAATACTGATTTTAGTTGTTCTTTAAAGTTCAGATATATAATCGTTCAGATTTCATTCACAAAATATTTTTTATTCCACACAAAAATGCAAACTGTTCTTTAAGGGATCATAGATGAGATAACAAATATTATTGATGTAAAATGAATTGAATTAAAGGTCTGTTATGAGAAAAAAAAAGCTTTTATAACAACACCCAAGAGAGTTCGAGTTTCATTCAAAGTAAAATCAAAATTGTTATGTAATGAGCGTTTTAAAGAAAAAAATTTTCATTCATTTTAAATTGTTTTAATAGGCAACGATAATTTATTACATTAATTATATAAACATATTATTAATGTTAATCATTAATTACTAAATAGTGTCCCTATATGTATTATCCCTTTAAATAATAATCATTAATAATACTATCGGTAAATAATTTTAATGATGCGATAATAACTACTGAGTTATCTATTAATGAATTATCATTACTATTATCATTATTATTATTAACAAAAGGTTGTCAAAAATATCTCGCAAAATGCAAATTTTGCACGATAAGTGCAATAAATTGCTTTCGAGGAAAAGAAAAAAATTATCGGAACAGCTGCTTTTTTTGAAGATTAAAAATACAGTGCAACATTTGTTTTCTATAAAAACTACTTTCTGGCGTTAGTTTTGCAAAAAACCTATTCCATGTTATTATTTCAATAATGTTATTAGTGAAAAATAATTTTATGGGAAAAATATCATTATAATACTACGAACAACAATAATTGAAGTGTTTTGATTAATGTTTAATTAAGAATGAATTGATAACTAATTATTGTTATAAAATACAACAATGCCAAATCTATGAAGAAAAGTTGCAGCAGTTGGGTGTATTGTATTTAATTCTTTAAAAGGAATATTTAGAATCGACGTTATGTTGTTTAAATAAAAGCGATTAATAAGACGTCATGAAATTAAGCAATTTTACAGAAAATAAGTTAATTCCACTAACTTTTAAAGAGATTTCATACATATTTACTATATTTAGTAGTAAGTTATATTTTAAAACAAATAATATTTTATAATTAAATTTTCAAATGTTTTTTCAACTCTAATTTTATTTCAAAAAAGTTTATAATTATAATCAAATTCAGATTCCTTCTTACTTTTCCTTATATTTTCTTATAAGTAGAATCATTTAATATCCTGTGATCACAATTACTTTTAAAGAACGGGATGCAGAAAAAAAAAAACGTTACCTGTTCTATAATAACAGTTATTATTAATAGTTTGTCTTCTTAATTTCGCTCTCTTGTTATGAACTGGAATGAACACTGGATTTGATGACAGAAGTTTGGTTGGATAGTTAGACCTTCATCTTTAGAGCAGTTTTTTCATTCACTGATCACGACATTTCATGCGCACCTTTAAAAGTAACATGCATTTCGCAAACAGATCCAAAATATGTGTCACAGACAATAAGTCTAAACGTGAGCTTTGATCGGACTCGGTTTTGAAACTGATAATTAAGATTTCAAAATTTTAGCAACTAATGTTTTTTTAAAAATTTAATTACCAAAATGCAAAATTTTACAGCTACTTGGCATATATTATTGTAAATTACCTCGAAATCTTCTGATAGGGGATGAGGTGACCCAGCTTTCACCGATCACGACGTAAAATATCCCCAGTGGAATCATGGTTGGTCTCCATATAACACAACAAAACTCCACGAAAGCCTTGTTCAAAACTACGAGGCACATTGCTGTTCAGCGACGGTCATTAAAATGCTTGTAAAGACAAGTCCATAGATTCTTTCCATTACTTTTAAAAGCAATCTATTAATAGCATATGTGAATAGGAAAACAAAATGCTCCTTTGAATGAAGCCGTTTCAGGGTGAGGTCAAATAGGCAAAATGAGTTGGATAATCATTCGTGAAACCGTTATGGAACATTTTATTATTTTATAAGTTCCAGAAAAAAAAAATTTAATTGTTAAATGAATGAATGAGTGAAACGACTCTGATTGTTGTTTTCTTCGCTTGCACATCTTGAAACAAAAATATTGTATACTCTGTTATTTCTCTTAAACTCAAAACACGTGTAAATGCTGTTATTTTATTTGCACATTGAATTCCCACACTTGTTTTTATTTTATAACCGTCGTTGAACAGCCGACCCAATTTCATGGGTTTACGACTACTAACGTTCAACTCCGTAGCCTTGTCATTTTGAACCAATCCAGAAGACAAGGAAACTCCTGGATCAGTACCCCCAGAGGTATTGATTTGTTGTGGGAACATGGAGGACTTTGAGACTCGACAGATTTAACGTGCATCAGTCACCATTTACTACACGGGGAGTCTTCGGCCGGCGAGGATCGAACCCACGACCTCTTGGATATGGGTCCAGCGCCCTACCGATCAGGCTATCCCGGCCCAATTCACACACTTGCCTCATTCGAGGTTGGTAATACACTCACTACTAGTTCTTGTTGCTTACACAGAGGGCGCTGCTCGCATGCAAACTGAACATACCGCCCCACATTGCACTGGTTCCACCAGGCAATCATTGTTATACTAAATTCACACACAAGTGATTTCACTAACATAAATCACTAAATGCAATTAACAACACTGTTTATAATGCAATAAACATAAACAAATAGATTAGCATGCTATTATTATCAATTTTAATTTTAAACACACATAATTAATTAACCACTTTTATATTAATAAAAATACTAAATATATAACACATTCAATTAATTATAAATTTAACAATCTGGCATTGGTAAAACACATATTTTAGAAATGGCTCTTTTAATAGTATTATGTTGAGTTTTCACTTTAACAACACGAATTTCTTTGTCCTCACCATAGTACAGTTCAACAATCCTGCCCATTTATAGGTTTGTAAATTCTCTTCAATTATCACTACCAAATCTCCGATTTTAACATTATTTTTTTGGAACATCCATTTGCCTCCTTGTTGCAATTGGTTCAAATAGTTACGACTCCAAAATTTCTACATTAACTGAACTACTCTTGTTACTTTTTTCCATTTTTTGAGATTACTTTCTTTATATTTTGTTAAATCTGGCTCTTCAATAGAATTTAAAGATCTGTTTAATAAAAAGTGTGCAGAGGTAAGAACTTCAAAATCGTTATCATTGCCTGATAGGGGACAAAGCGGCCGGGAATTCCCTCGATTTGTACAGTAACCGTATGAAGTTCTTCGTAAGTTAAGTTTATCCCTTTTACAACCATTTTTAGGTGATATTTACACGATTTTATAGCTGCCTCCCAAAGGCCACCAAAGTTGGGAGATCTGGGCAAAATCCATTCAATCCCTTCTGCTAAATAAGCAGCTAAACTTTCGTCTGGTTTCCTAACCATTTCATGCAGCTTTTTTAATCTCATTGTTAGCCCCCACAAAATTTTTAGCATTGTCTGAAAACAATTTTGTACATTTTCCTCTTCGAGCCGTAAACCTTTTCAATGAATGCTTCCGATGTTAAATCAGAAACTATCTCGATATGTACAGCCTTAAAACACAAAACAAAAACAAATATACACTTTATACAAATTCCCTTTACGTTGTCCTCTATTCTTAATGAAACACTGAAATCAACACCTGAACAATTAAGTGGATAATCAGGTACAAGCCTTTCCTTTGGCCAAGCCTTTCCCATTAGCTATGACTATTGGTTTTGCTTTAAAACAAGTTATACAATTATAGACAATTTTTCTACAAATTGATCGACCACTTAACTGCCAAAACTTTTCACGAATATGATTAAGTACAGATACAACTCCTACATGTAAATACTTTTTATGAAAATATTCTATTATTATTAAAGTTAACTTATTATTCTTGGGTAAAATTACCTGATGCTTCTTATTGAAATTAAATTCTGTATTACCTAAGCGACCACCAACTCTTAAAATGTCATTGCCATCCAAAAAGGGACTAAGAGTTTTTAACTTACTGTTTGATGGTACACTTCCAGATCGTTTAATACTTTTTATTTCAAAAGAAAATTATTGTTCCTGAACCTTTTTTACCAGAAAGGTTTCTGCTCTTTCATACTCCCTTGTTGTTAATAGACCCGTTGATTTCTGCTTTATTTTTACAATTTCCACGAACCTAAAAAGAAAACTCACAACACGTAAAATAGTTATATAGTTATTGCTTAAATTAATTAAATCATTTACAAAATTATTAGTATGGATATTAAGCACAGACGGAAAGTCCTCAAAGTCTCCATTGGTGGAGTTTCTCAGTTCTGAATAGTACTCATTGTGTTTCTCACTACAATTTATAGTTCGATTTGGATAGTCATTTTCGGCAAGAAACATCGGACCATGAAACCATAAGTTGTTATGCGGAAGTTTATCAGGATCAACACCTCGTGAAACTAAGTCTGCAGGATTTTCATCAGTTGGTACATGTCTCCATCGCTGATTAGGAAATAGTTCTTGTATTGTGGCCACTCTGTTTTGAACAAAGGTTTTTAAATCTATGGGTTCTTTTTGAAGCCACGCTAGAACTATCATAGAGTCTGTCCAAAGGTATATTTCAACAGTTTCTAACTTTAACGCAGCAACCACTCGTTTCACAAGTTTTGACAGAAGAACAGCAGCACATAACTCAAGTCTTGGGATAGTCAGACTTTTTATAGGCGCAACTCTTGATTTGCTCGTTATCAAACTAACCAAAGTCTCATTCATTGAATTTTTAGATTTACAGTAGACTGCTGCACCATAACATTGCTGAGATGCATCAGCGAAGCCATGGATTTCTACACTTTTTGGAATAGTGATGAAGATGCGTCTTGGAATCTCTATATTGTTGATGCTCTCTAAAGACACTAGAAATTGATGCCACTCTCGATATTCTTCATCTGGTAAAGAGTCATTCCAGTCCATTTTGATTCTCCACAAACGCTGAAGGAAAATCTTTGCCTTTGCTATTACCGGTGCCATTAGACCAATCGGGTCGAAGAGCTTGGCAATAGTGGACAAAACGTCACGTTTTGTGTAAGAATTCTCCAAGCATACCTTTACTCTGAATAGAAAACAATCTAAAATTGGTTTCCAGGATACACCTAAAGTTTTTGTCTCTATTAACGTTGCAAAATTATAATCACATTCAGAATCTGGTGCTAGTTTCACGTGATTGGCGCAGAGCTTGTGTAGTGTCATGTCAGCACTTTGCAAAATCCCTTTTAATTGTTGCTTGAGCTCAATTGCCTCCTCTAATGTGTCTGCACCGCACAAACAGTCATCCATGTAAAAATTATTTTGCAGGACGGGAGCAGCCATGGGGAAATTGGCTTGTTCGTCAACTGAAAGCTGTTTAAGTGTTCTTTGCGCTAAGTAAGGTGCGCTTACCGTGCCGTAAGTAACGGTAGATAGTTCGTATATTTTTGGCGGTTCATCTTCATTTTCACACCAAACGATTCTCTGAAGATTACACTGATTTGGATTGATTAAAATAGTTCGATACATCATTTTGATATCAGCAGTAAAGGCATATGCATATGTGCGGAACCTTAGCATTTGAGTATATAAGTCCTCCTGAATCACTCCTCCATTAAACTGAATATCATTAAGGGATATTCCCTTATCAGTTACTGAAGAACAATTAAATACAACACGAAGTTTTGTCGTGGACTTTTCTGGACGATAGATTCCATGATGTGTAGCATAATATGTTACCTCTGGTTCAATTTCTCTAGTAACCTCTCTCATGTGTCCCAGTTTCTCATATTCTTTTAAGAAATCACGATATAAATTTAAATAAATTTCATCTTTAGCTAAGCGATTCCACAGCGATCTGAGACGTTTGAGGGCTATATCTTTTGAGTTTCCTAAACATGAGGGATCTTCTTTTAGGGGCATTGAAACAACGTATTTCCCTTCCCTAGTTCTAAAATGAGTATCCGCAAAGTGTTTCTCGCAAATTAAATTTTCTTTACTCTTTGTTATTGTTTCCTCGACATTTTCTATTTGCTGGAATTTTTCTAGTGTTTTATTTAAGTCCTCATCACGAATCAAACCTTTGGTTCATTTATTGAATCTAAATTTCCGGTCACTACATACCCAAATACACTATTGACCAAAAGCGATTGCGAATTTTTTATTTTAATTCTTTCCGACTTTATCAACTCGTAAAATATATTTGCACCCATTTTTCCCGGAATACTAAAAGTGTCATCTGCTAATTACACGAAATTTGAAAAATTGACATTTAAAGTTTTATTCGGAATAAATTTTGTGATTTTTTTAACTGTGAACATATCTAATTCGCTTTCAAATGATATGTTTTTATTTGAAATCGCCACTTTAACACACCCATTTACCATCATAGAAGTATCGTTTAAACAAGAAATCAATGTATTTATTTTTTCGCTCTTAAGTTGCAATTTATTAGCACATTCATTTGAAATTAGACAGGTTTCACTACCAGAATCCAGTAACGCTCTACACATCTGCCATTCCGAATATTTATCCTTTACGAGGATTAATGCAGTACTTAATAAGTATTTGTTTTTAAAACACGCGGTCGCCACAATTTGAGTAGTGTCTACTCTGGGAACGATTGATTCAGTACTTACATTAAACGCGGTTTTGTTTGTGATTTATTTTGATCGTTAATTGGCGCCATATTGGGAGTGGATGAATTGTTTTTAATTTCTCTCGGATAATGTAAAAGTTTGTGAAGAGCCTTTTTACATAGAAAGCAGTTTCTCATTCTGCATATATTAACTTCACATCTGGGGGAAAAGCACTTAAAACAAAGTTTATTATTTTTTACAAACTCGACTCTTTCGTGTACAGACATTCTTTTGAATTGTGGGCAAAATTGCAAAGCATGAGACTCATTGTTTTTACGTAATACACAGTTATCATTTTTTATTTCAGATAAAAATACATTTGTTGCTACTCTCTGTACACTCGAATTATTAACTCTACTTTGTTTATTAAGTTCGTAGCGCTTAGTATTTCCACTGAAAGATTTCGAAAATGTTTCATTTTTGCTTTTACCTTTCGAAGATAAATAAATATCACACTCACGCCCTAATTCATGGGGTATAAAAGACACTTTTCTCCCTCTTTTACACTAATATGAGTCATCAAATCTCTATCGAGAGTACTCATTATTTTATCCGATACTATTAACTCACAGACGGATTTAAAATCATTTACATTACGTAATTGACAATAATATTCAAACGTTGCACTTAGCCTTGACGAAAATTGTACATAATTCTCTGAACTTATTTTTTGTGCTCTTTGAAATTTATTAAAGCATTCTTGTAGTGTAGGGGAAAATTCTTTTAGCACTAAATCTGTGAGTTTATTGTAATTAGTTAACTCTTCTTCGGAAATGTGAACCATTAAACTCTCTCACCTAAAATATTTAAAAGAATTTCACATTTATATTGCTCGGGAACCTCTTTTGTTTTGAATTCCAGCGACTGAAAAAATAAATTATACGATTCTACTCGTGAGGGTATAGTTAAGGTTTTTACGGATTTCAATAAAGTTTCGATCGGATTCTCAGAAACTTTTGCGAGTACGGAATTATGCGATAATTCTTTTTGAACATTAGTTAGCGCTAATTGTTTTGCGCTAATTTAATTCTCTCAAATTCTAATTTAGATTCGGACTTTTTATTTTTTACTCTATAGCATAATCCAGTGCGCATTTAAATAGCTTTTGATCTGTTTTCAATTAAAGTTTTTAAATCGGCACCCTCCGGTACATTTAAGTTTAATTCTTCTGCGACGAGTCTTAATTCGTCTTTCTTTAATTTAGTCAAAGACATGTTTATAGTTAAATTCACTTAAATATAAATTTAACTTTCACCTACCTTCTCAGATCGCTGTTAGACGCACTTAAGTTTCAGTTTCGTTTCTCGATCGTACACGTACACATTACACTGAATCTTTTGCACTAATTTTAGCTTAATTTTCACAAAATTCGCTCGTCCATAGATCGCTTACCCTCTCAGGCTTGGGTAAGGACTCAACAACATGCCTCATTCGAGGACACACAAGACTCAAAACACATGCCTCATTCGAGGTTCGTAATACACTCATTAGTTCTTGTTGCTTACATACAAACTGCGCTGCTCGCATACAAACTGAACATGCTCTTTTAATTTATCTTTCATTTTCTTACAGTGAAACAAATTTACTCAAAATAACCACAATACACGGATAAGTAAAAACCAGTTTAAACCTGAGAGTATTTCGCCATACTGTTAAAATTACACTAAAAAACTCACTTGCATTTAATATCTTCAGTGCAATTTCGCTGCACAATTAACTTACCATATTATTTTACAACAGTAGTGGGGTAAATGTCGCTTAGAGATAGGTTCTTGCAAACTTTAAGACCAAAAAATATATTGCAAACACATTTTTTATGATTGCAGCAAAGGGTAACAAGTGACGTCACTGCTAACATATCATTACTAAATTCAAATTTAGAAATTTTAGACTTGAAATTTTTGTAATAAAAAAATCGTTATAGCGTTTAGAATTTCTTGAAAGTAGGACGATGTGGGCTTTCAAAATCTGAAATCTCAATATTTCAAATTCTTCAATCGATAGTGTACTTTAAATATAGCATGCTCTGTATTGCTGTTTCAATCTGCCGTTTTAAATGTATTTTCTAGTACGTACTCTTTGTACACAATTAGAGCTATTCATTTGGTTGATAATGTTAAATTTTGTACTATAAAAACGAGTTTAACAAATTCTCAAATAATACAAAAAAAACTAGATTTGATTTGACATGACTAGATCTGGTTATTTTTCTGTCCGGACTTAAAGTACTTTTTCTGGATGTGACCCCAAAAAAGAACGTCCGTTACATTTAAATATAACGATGCCATTATAAAATTACAAAATCTATAAGACGCAAATGTATAGACAACAATCCGAATTTATAATGTAATGAAAATCATTTTAAATTATGAAAATCAATACCATACAATATACAGTAACAATGCAATCAAAGTCATTGTAAAATAACCATATTAAGACAATTCGATGTAATGAAATTCATTATAACAATCCAGCACTATGAGGACAGAGCATTTCATGTAAATAATAAAAGTGATAACATATAACTGTCCTAGGATAACTCGATAAGTAAAAATATCAAAAAACAACTTTTAGTGTGGGTCAGTTCCACCTAGCACCACAGCTAGTTTACATAGCAAAGAAAAACAATCGTTTGAGGATCGATTTTTCAAACGATCCAGTTTATAGTTTTCATGTGACGTCATTATTCTTTATTTAATAATAATTATTTTACAAATATTTTAAGTAATTCTATCAGAAAAACAATCTATAATAAAGAAAAGTTAAAATCTTAATATCTTAATGAAGAATAAAACATCGTAAAATATTAATTAAGAATAAAACAAAGATATTCTTTAAGATTTTAACAATTAACGATTATTTGAAACTATGGAGCATTCTTACTGTTTCGATCGTTTTTATTAAAAGGCGCCCATCAAATTCTAAATATATCTTTGATATGAATTTTTATTTTGATAATTTATGTTGATTAAAAATACTGTCTGCGCAGCGTTGGGAAAATATTTTGTATTAAATTGAGGAAAAAAAATATTTCGAAACATCTTCATTCACCACAAAACCGTTCAACAAAATGAGAAAATATCTCCACTCAACCGAATAAACTTTCTTGTCTGTTTTCGAGAACACCGTATTCTATAGACTCGAAATCAGGGAACCATCTTACTTTCAGGAAAAAAGAGTTGGAAAAAGAATTTCTTGGATCCTACTTTATTCTTATTTAAGCTTATAACATATTTCAAAAGTTGAAAATCTCTATCGGTGGATAAAAAGACAGACGATTTTGGAAAAAGAATTTAAATGACGAAAGAACCTTTTTGGGCTAAGAATGCCAATGTCCCTGTTATTAGACGCACTATAAAATTCTACGCAAAATCTTAATTATCAGGTTGTTTGCACTTGTTCCTGTATTAGACGATAGATAATATAAATTTGAAGATAGGATAAATATAGACTATTTATTATATTATAAGATCAAATTATTACTGTAATGTTTTAATAATTGCTTTACATTTAAACGTGATTTATTTAGGACTTCCTATTTAACCTATTGCATGACACAATGGAACAAATGAAAACCGGAGTAAAAACAAAGATTTTGCATAGAATTTTATGGACTGTAGATTTTATAGAAAAAAGTCTAGACATTATTTTCTTTTTAAGTGATTAACTTTCATAGGAAAATTATAAAATCTTTTAGAGATCTTTGTTTTGGGAAGGGAAAATGTTTAGTGAGAGGAATTGTTAAATATTGGCACTTATGTAAACAAATATGTCTTTAAATGAAAGAAAGTCTCTATAACGAGGGATTGCTTTATATGTCAAACTATTTCAAACTGAGGTATTTCTTTCAAGATACGATTATTTATAATAAAAAATTAGAATGAATTTTTTGAATTCAACTCTAGTGTGTTCTTCACATTTGAAATGTAACCAATCACCTTTTTTTTTAAAGAAAATAGTAGCACAATTTTAGTGAATTTCTGGTGTATCATTCTGTGTTTCGGTACTAATGAAGACAAGAGCTGGACAATATATTGAGAAATACAGATTGTATATCGAGATCACTAATGATGGATTATGCACTAATGATGACTTGTTTCTATCGAAACGATTTTCTATTATATAACTTATTAAGTGTCACGTTATCAAAATAGCAAAGGATGTCTTTTTCAAGCAACGCTATTTAGTTCTGATCACTGTTCAATGAAAGGAAAATTGAATGGTAGACTTCCTTAAGAAAAAGATTTAGTTATAGATAGTTTTAAATGTTGCGCTCTCACATAT